ATACGGACACTGGTGGCAGCGGCGGCAGCGGCGGCAGCGGACAACAACGGCACGCTCTACCCTTTTTGGGACTTCATAACTGCTTTCGCTGTAAAAACCCAGGGCGCTCACAGCATAGTTTTAGCCTGCTCATTACAGTGTACCTTGCGGTCATATTGTGGTTTTAATACTTAATATCTCAGAAATGACTTTGTTAAAATGACAAATTACTAGAATACTTTTGTAGTGGCTATATTAATGCATGTGGGCCAGCCTGCAATTAAAATCTTGTGCTAGAGCATGTGATATTGTCCATTTCTCCTCTGTTGTTTGAGATAGCTTAATGATGTGCAAGCAAATTAGGCTAAAACTTATGACTTGTCTATAGTTGCTATTGGGTACATTTGAAAAGTAGCCAGAACTCAAGCCAGAGGCATTTAAAAGTAGGCAAGAGTAGCTATTCTATTAAATTTTCTAATAAATTTTGCAGCCAAATCAAACAGAAGAGGTTTGACAAATCTAGAGTATGTGCTTCTGGGCTATAAATAATATCATTTTGATTAAACAAACACAAATGGAAAACATAGGGAGGTCTTGCACATGCTTCAGCTTACATGATACAAAGGCTCGAAAATGAAGTGTAGTCTTTAGAATCGCTTGTTATTTTACGAGCAGATAATAAAATAGAAAATTGGCTTCAAATGCTTCAAAATATGGTTCACAATCAGCCAGAATGTAGATGTCGAACTATCCTGAAATTTTCGTCACCAGGTGATTCATAAAATATTCACTATGGCAGCAAGTAGCCACCAACAGCAACCCTCCTTTGTGGCAGTGTCACATTACGAGCTATAAACAAGGAAATTTTAGCTCTTTTGAAACCTCACTGTTTATGAAGTAGTCGTGGAAAGGTGTCATGATAGGGGAATCGAAAGTGCTCCCAAGTGCAACAAGCCATCATGGAGCATCAGGAAAACTCTATACGACATAAAATGCATTCGTTGACACATCAGAAAGATGTGGAAACATTATAGTTCCTCTTCGAATAGCAAAAAGGGTGCTACTGAGTGCGCCAAGATAGAAGTTTGATGTAACCAGAGAGTAGCTGCAAAGCGAACCTGAGATTTTCATCACAGACAGGGTTGGGAAGTAGCCACTTTGGCACAAAGTGGCCATGAGTGGCAACCTTTATATTTCTCAGTCAACAAAAAGGAAACAAACCAAGTCAACGTAAGGAAGCTTATTATTTCTGTAGAGTCTCACCAGCCGGCAATTTACACCTGGAATGGAAGGCATTAGAACCGTATATTTTTAATTAAGAAGGCAGCATACAATTTCAGGCATGTCTCTGCGCAGTGCACAATTCAAGAGAACGTGTGATTGTGCTGTATTCAGCGTGCTCATCATTTTCATGAGCTTAAAGAACAGCTGTTTGCTTCCCTCCTATTGTTGTTGGCTTTTTTTTCCACGACCGTCTATACCACCTGTTGGCATCGTCGTCGTCGTCTCCTCCTTCCAGGCATGAACTGCAGCTGCTCTCAAATCTGTCTGCCATTTCAGAACAGCTGCGCAGCAGTTTGTATTTTGCTTTCATGCTGTGTATACTTGTTGATAGATAGGCGTACTTTCTTTCGTTACGTCTTTATTATTTTACGCTTTTTTATGTCTTGCTCTAAATGTGCATTTCGCAGTCTGCCATAAAAAAGATTACGGGAAGCTTGAAAGGCAGCAGAGCAGCATTCTTATGTGATATAGGGCCAGAGCCGTAACGTGAAAATGCGCGCAGCTCGCAGAGCCAGGGAGGAAGCTCTTGTGCTTATGAAGTTTTATGACCACATCGCTTGAAGGACATTGTTCTCAGTTACAATTTGGCTTTGGATTTAACGTGTGGCCGACGTGTCGTCACTGGAGCTACAAATGGCTGTGCGCTTTGTCATACGAGCGTCCAGGACTGGCTGTGCTCCTACTTTGTGCTTACAACACTGGAAAGAGGTAGGTGGCCGCGGGTGCAACACTTCATTGCTACTCAGATTCCATGGCGTTCAGGCCCAGATTTTGGCACCTCTGTAATGATGCTCGCAACGAGTGGCCTTTTTAATGGTTTTATTCATTCTGGGGAGAGATGGTTACTGCTACATAACTTTACTGTAAGAGCATATTGGAAACTGCTGAACGGTTATCTTTAGGGACACGTTTAAAGCAGGCTACCAAAAAACTACACCTGCAGGCACTTACTTAGGGCCTGGAAAAAATAAGCATATTCTCAGTAAGCTTATTGTGTGCCTATGCAGTCTATATTGAGTGCAGCTAGTTAAATGTGATGGCAGCAAATCTACTGTACCACATATTGCGTGAAAAGAAAGAAAAGAACCCAATGCACAATCTATTGAGCATAGACCAGTCTCTTGTTTACGGTCTTTTGCCTTTTTTTTTGTAGACTATGCAAGTTGTACTGCTGGCATACTCTAGTTTCAATACTGCCCCACTTTTTTTTAGAGGTGTTACAATTTTATGCAGTACATTGAAGAATATCTCAAGGTTCAGGAGCAGTGTTCCTGCTCGAAAATGTCTAATGAATAATTTAATTTATGCTTGATTGTGCGCTTCCTGTGGCATTTTGTGGATATATGGCAAAATTTCATCTTTAAGCATGCAGCACTGTCAACATTAGTGTTTATACTGTACCTGTAACAAAGAGTGCTGTCTCTAGTCCTGGACAATGTCGAATTCTGTTCATTTCCAAGCTTAATCATTTGCAGATAGCATTTTTTTCTCGCTCCCTTTACTTTGATTACATGGTAAAATTTGCGTTCGTAAATATTCCATGCTGCTATGGGAGCTTTGCCTTGCTGTATCTCGACAGAGGAGCAGGTACTAACACCTCCATGACAGTAATATTTCCGTGACAGCTTATAAAAACTGAAGAGCTTTTTTTTTTTTCGGTAGTCATATTCTACCTGGTCAGCTTTGTTTACACAGTTGTGCAAAGCTGGCTCTCCACGTAGATTTGTTTATTGAAATGTCAAGTACACTGTTACAAGATTTTTTCAATACTTGTCCTCATTGTGTGTTTTTTGTACAAAGTCTCTGTAGCTCAAACCTTATTTCAAAAAGCTGAAGTCTCTATGGAGTGTGCGCAACAAGACAGTAGCACGTGTCTAGTGGAATGCTGTGGAGGTGACTCAAATGCTATCCGTTACAGGAAACAAGTGAACCTTCTTAAATGAGCATTTATGGTAAACATGGAGATAAATACCACAGCTATGCCTAGGTAAATGTTATATATTGATTCTTGTTATTGTGGTGACTGATTTGAGTATAAACACAACACTGTCGAGGGCACACCTGAAGTTGTATAACTTTCAAAGGCTATGAACGCATGGCTTTTTGGATAAAATGTAGCACGTGCATAACAGTTTTACTACACCAATTAGTGGTACCGGCGTGATGCGTGTCTACACCCTCTCGTAGTGTTGTGTTGCCTTAAAACCTTGTGCACAGATGTGTGTTGTCTGTGGGAAGACTTTCACAAGTCGTAATTTGTGGTTTCGGGTTTCACGCAATAGAAAGCTTCAGAAAGCATCAGGTAGTCAAACATTTCTTTTTGCTATCGTATAATTTGGTATGGAAACATATGGTGACACTGATTTCATAAAGGTGGGCGTTGAAGTTCTAGTGATCTTAGATCTTTGTTTTTTTATTTTAATTTTTTTAAGCGTGCGCTTTTCGGTATGGCCTGTGTCAGAGTAACTCTGGAAAAAGGAAGAAAAACCCATAGTGTGCAGCTCTTCTTTTGTAGTAGTTGTTTTTTGGTGAACTCCATCAGATGAACTACCAACTGGCTGAGGAAACCATTCTTTCAAAGAATGTGTGTTTGTGTAACACTGAATCTGTGTGTTTTGTGTTTAGAAATTTCTTGTCACCGTGTGTCTTGCATTGTATCTGTGCTGGCAATCTGTGTTAGGTGCTGTGAATGTCATATTGTGCTGCGTACCAAATTGTTCACACACACCTCAGACCAGACGTGATCGTTTCTAGGATCATTTTTTGTGGAGCTGGTACCATCAATTGTCTCTAGAGCAAATATGTGTTGTGAGCATTCCTGGAGACCCTAGCCTTTTTATTTATCTTGAACCATTTCTTGTTGGTTTCATCAGCCAAGAATGCACCCAGATGCTTTTGGTCAGAGTAAATGGTGCAAACAACACTATCAAGATTGAAAACAGAGTGGTGTTCTCAAGAGAAGGTATATTAGTCATGAAAGTTGCCAGCATCCAACATGATAGACCCATGTGGTTGATAAGAGTGCACTTTTCCCCCCTGTGTATTGTAACTGTGCCGTACTTGCCTGGCACGACCAAAAGACGTGCAAGAATCGCTTGCTGTGCTCATACTCAAGAGCTTCCTTAGAAAGTACTTCATAAAAGCGTTGCTAGCCAAGTTTTTCTTTTTCAAATAATCTTATCTGGGTAGGTGTTTGTTCAGGTAGTATTTCTGTTGCTTAATATCTTCACCTCATCATTAAATGACGCATCTGTCCATTATATTGTTATGTGCCGCTACGAAGTTCCGTGGTGTACACCAAGCTCCTCCACCAAAGATGTTACGGGGAGACTTCGGAAGACAGGTGTTTGTATGATATTTACACAGTCAAAGGGATCAGGGCAACAGCAGCCTAGATGGCGCAAACAGGCCCTTGTTGCCTCGATCACTTTGATTGTGTACACCCGTCTTTTGTGATCTCCCCGTAACAATAAATGGCGCATATGCTCTGTAGAAAAGACTTGTGATTGATTCTGCTTCGCAGAGTTGTGATAACATGCCTTACTAATTTTACAGTTTGTGTCATGCATTGCTCATTCTCGTTTGCTTACTATGCAGAGAGATTTCCTGTTCCTTCATTTTTATCACAGTTACGTTCACTGTTTATCATAGAAGTGAAAAATGTTTACTGTGGGACGTTGTTCTGTGATTGCTTTCAAGTTATTTTCGTTGCATTGATAACATGTTGGACGTTTCAGTCTGCTGCTGCCCTTATGCGAGCAGGATGCTCAAAACCGCGCCGACCTTTCGTGCAGGGGTCACACTGAAAGGTTGTCTGACCGGGACCTCAAGTACTCACAACAGTAAGCCGCCGTTGCACGCCGCTGTTTTCTCTCCCGTATAAGCGAGATCCGTCATCGTTTGGTGATTTTGTTACTTTGTCACTAACAGCACTAACCTGTTGCTCGGTGACTGACTTTTGTCATGTTTTGCATTTTTAATTTTTTGTAAACGACAAGCCTATCTTCTCAGCTGTCACTTGCCCCTTCGGCTGACTATGAAAAGCTAGCTCGAGCAAGTGCTTTCACCTGATACATATTTAACAACACATTTGCAAGTTTTGAACGGCTTTTTTCTGGCTACAGGTTTGTAAGTGTCATTACACTGCTGGTTTAGAAGAATCGTGGATTGGAATTTAACACCTTTCACTGCATGCCCTACCGCACCACTTTACAACTGCGCCAGTTTCCACAGGTTTGCTGCATGAAACTACTGGGCTGCGTTTCGTAGTCATTTGCCTCAATACAGAATCATGCATGAATATTGATTTTTGGTTTCGTGCATGGACATTGTCAGGGTGGTGAAAAGAATGTGTGCACTGTAGGGAAAATGAGAAATATTAAAAAGGTCCCGCGACACTTCTTGATAATGGTCAGTGAATGCTGCCGATCAGTTGGGAAGGCTGCTGTGAACATGCGAGTCAAATATGGTATCATGCAGTAGAGAATTCACAGTTATGTTATACGGACAGCTGGAAACTGCTCACTCTCCTTTCGCCAAATTCTGTTGTCAAAGGGCCCTACCACTTCAACTGAGAAAAGTACTCGGCTCGCGGTTGATTTGAGCATTCTCGTGCTGAATGCGTGATGACGGCATGCGGTGTAGGAGGCTATAATCACACTGTAGTAATGACACTAACACACTTGTGATCACATAGAAAGTGAGCTGACATAATTAAAGAACAAACAAATTGGAGAAAATGCTCAGAACCATGATACGTGCTGTCATCAATTCTTACCGCTTTGTCGGCCCTCCTTGCCTAGCTTTTAGTAAATCTATCAGGACGAACAAAGGGGAAAATATTGTAAAGGGTTTGACAAATTCCTGTAACTCTGCTTGTACAGGGCATATAAAAAACATTTCGAGTCACTCAATGCATGAGCCGATAAGCTGCAATAAATGATGTCACTTGATGACTGCTCGAAGTGTTGCAGGGCCTCTTCCAGATGGGACCGAAATATTTGTGTGGACGTATACAAGCTCTCTGAATGGAAATTTTAGCAAGAAAAAGTTTGCATTGTTGGGCAGCTTTTACTGCTGTCATATGCAGCTGAGCCCTTTTATAAGACATGCATCGGGGTGCAGTTCTCGTCTTTTATATGACGTGTCTCTTATGAGCAGCGTACTATGCTATGCATTTTTCTTATCGATCCCTATATCAATGTATGTGCACTGGTACCTCATATACCAACGTGTCTGTTACATTGGTGTCTCTTATAAAGGGGTTCTACTGTATAGCCATCTATTGATTGTGCTTCCTTTCACGTCTTATCACCTAGATGCAGCGATTGCACCATTTCAACCATGTGCTCTGTGTGTGTTCGTAATTTATATCTGGTGCCGAAAATTTCGTTGTTCTGGAGTTCACACCTAGGAATCTTTCTTTGTGTCATGATAGGATTATATTAGGATCACTCTGTCTGCAGTTGTCAAAGTATAGGAAAGCTGATAACACGTGTTTGAATATTTATTATTTATTTATTTATTTACAATATGCTGCGGTCACAAAGGACCATGCAGGTGGGAAAATATACAGTTTCAAGTTTACAAGCACAAATGGAGCCGTTAGGCACACAAGCTCACAGAAAAGGGAAACAAAGCAATCTTACGGCATATCTAGAAGTATTACCAGCACAGCCTGTCAGGATAAAAAAATAATACAGTTCTAAGGAGAGTGACGCACACTATAAGAAGTGTAAAAGTAAACAAAAAAGAACTTCTCGGAATACGTTGGGTGCGTAAATTATGAAGTAACATTGCATCATTAATTGAAGACTGCATCAATTGAACAATGCATCATTAATTGAACACTGAGGTAACACTGCATTATTAATACGTCTGGTGCGTAAATTATGAAGTAACACTGCATTAATAAAACACATAGTGAAAAAAATGACAAAATGCAAAAGTTAAAGCGATGAACATTCACTGGTTTACTGAATTTCCAAATCAATAAGTAGGGCACTTTCAAATCAATAAGTAGCGCTCTTTCAAATGCACTTGCAAATTTTAAAGAAACAATATTTTCAGGCAGCGAATTCCAATCAGCAATGGTTCGTGGAAAAAAAAAGTACTTGAAAGGATTAGTGCGCGTTTGATGAGGAAGTAGATTATGTGCATGTCGATTTCTCGATGTACGTGACGAAAATGGCTGAATACATTCACATTAAGTCTATTGTGATAAAGCATAAATAAAAATTTGTCTTGATATTTTCCTGCGCTGCTCTAAGGTTGGAATCTTATTTGCCAGCATTAAAGATAATGGTAAATCTGTTCTCTTTTCTCTTATATTTGTTGAATATGAAGCGTACTGCCCGCCTCCATACCATCTCGAGCCTATGCTTATCTTTTTTGTGGTGGGGATCCCAAATTACGCTAGCGTGTTCAACTTTAGGCGAAACATAAGTTTTGTAGGCGAGAAGCTTAGCATAGGGTGGCGCGTTTTTCAGTCTGTGCCTAACTAGGCCAAGTTTGCAAGTAGCTGCTGTACAGATTTTTTCGATGTAAGAGGACCATGTGAATTTGTTGGAGATCATCAATCCCAAATATTTGTACCCAGTGGCTTCTGCGACAGTTTCATCATTAATTTTATACGTGTATAACAAAGGTTGTCTTTTATTTATTACGCGTAGCAGTACAGTTTTCTCGGAATTTCAGCAACATTGACCACGTGGTGCACCATTCGTGGATTTTTGCTAGGCTAGAGTTTAAAGAAATTTGATCATTTTTGCATGTTACCTGTTTAAAACAAATTTTGAAACAATAAGAGAAAAGCAGCAGAATACAGGTAAATGGAATGGTACTTTCTTGAAGCACAGCTCTTAGACACTCGTTCGTTTATTGAGCATCGTCGTCATCAATTCCGTAAATGGTGTAACCGATAGACATGCAAAAGTAACTGATACGCATGAAAAAAATAAAGTGAGAAAAGAATACCCAGGATTGAACAGAATTTGAAACCAGGCCCTCTGCGGTGCAGTCGAGTATTATATCACAGAGCCCCGATGATGCTTGAAAACACATTCGCAAAAAGATCGTTTACAGGCATTCTGTCGGGCAAGCAATCACATTAACAACCTACGTAATATGGTGTGGTGGAAAAGTAAAATAACAACCAAGCGTCATGCATTGCTAATTGCTTATTGAGTGCATGGTTTAATGCTTTTCATCCATTGCACAGTGCTCAGCCGTAATACTTCGTCATCATCAGCCACACCCAGTGTCAAGAAAGTGCACATCTTACCTTACAGATGTGTAGCGGGTACTAGGCTTATACACAGAGAGACTAGTACTGGCGTAGTGGGTGCTGTCCTGCTTTACACATAAACTATGATTTGTGGCGTAATCGATACCTTGTGAATAGGCAAAACTTCCAACTCAGTTGGCCTTGCCCCAACACTGAGCTGCACTAAGAATTCTCATTAGGTAGCACCGTAACTATTAGTGAATTCTTTTACTATTATTTTGAGCAGATAATAAAAAGCTTGATGTGTGACAGAAAAAGCTGATGCCTTACTGTAACCATGTGTTAGTTGAGACACTGTAGAGAAGCTTGTTCAAATGTCTTTGAAGCTCCCTTCCAATCTCTTTTACTACATCAAAGAGCTGACAAAGTGAAGTAGTGTGATATTCACAGCTGCAAACCTCCCAAAGTATTTCATGAAAGTGCTCTGCCAAATCTGCACCATAAGTAAGTGCGGGAAATTCATTTAAAACAACACTTTTCATTGATGAACCTAGAGAAAACAAATACGTAAGTGTAGGAGATAGTTGGCCTTCGTGCATGTGGTACGTCTAGTTCTGCTTGTGTTATTACCGTGTAAAATGTTACAGCATTATGGCGTCATTTGTGTGCAAAAACAAAATATAGAGCATTAAACTTACTCAAGAGTTCTTGAGAAGAGACATTAGAAGTTCTGCTTTGGGTGTGCTAAGGTCACGTACAAGAGGCTAAGAGTAAAAAATTGGCCCTGAATCTGCATGTTACACTGCAAATTGCATCCAAAGATGATAGTCTTGTGTCTGGAGAGAGTGAACAAAACATTTATTTGATGTTCTGCGCAAAAAAATCGATGAATGGTATTCTGGAGGCGCTGCGTTAGAGTGCCTCGAGCGTGTAGCGGATGCGAACGAGCGCATTGAGGCACGTTAGACACGAGCGCCATCTGGCAGTTATCTTCAAAAACGAAGGTGTGCGCGCCCGCGGAGAAAGATGCGCGCCAGTCTCGGAGGTCATAAGGTGTAAAACGCAAAGCGACGGGCATGTGCCACCACGTTGTCGTCGTAGCAAAGCGCTGGAAACACTTACCTTTTTCAGCATCGCCTTGCACTGTCAGCGCAGTGCGATAAACGCTACAGTCCTTTGAGCTACTTGTGTGTGCCTCTTCTAGTATAAAGGCAGACATACAAAACATCGGCGTGTTGTTATGGCACCTCAGATATGTGCAATAATTGCTTTTTAATTGACAATCGCACAACTATACTATGAACGCTTAACCTTGGGCAACATTGGTGCGCGCTGCGGATGGGGTCGGCTGTTTGGTGCCGTTTGAGGCATCGCTGAGGGCGAACAAATTGACAACTGTGCAGACAGACAGACAGACAGACAGACAGACAGACAGACAGACCAAATTTTTCCGTCGAAGGTCCCCAAGAAAGACTATCGTCTTTAAAATAGCAGAACCAGGTGCGTAGGGGAGGAAAGTTCAGTTCCTAGAGAAAGTGCTTGAGTGATGCAGTAAGATTAGAAAATGTTAATTCTTCAGTGGGGCTCACGGAACAGGGATTACTGTAGGTCATTTCC